GCACAGTGCCACGTTGAATGGTTATGGTTTCAATTGGAGTAGGAACAAAAAACATTTCTATGAATTTGATAAAATGACGGTATGCCATCATTAATTAAGGATGATTGGTTTCTTTCCAAATATGACTTGAGCATTGATCTGTTCGATAAACAAGTCTATTATTTACTTTATATAGTGGATCTATTGAGGCATATAGTTTGCCTTTAGAGTTTCCATTGAACCAATGCCTAGTTCTAGTAAGTTCTCTGATGATATGGTTGAGGCTTTTATGGTCATGTTCTGTATATATGTGTCATCATATACAGGAGTCTAGTCTTCATAATCTCTGCCAAACCAAAGAATTTGATTACAGAGGGATTCTGGAACACTGCTTAAATTAGGCCCAGTTCCATTAATGTTTTCTATGCATAGAGATAAGTTACCATTAATGATATTAATCGTAGTTGTATATCCCTTCTCCTCTATTGCTCCTTCCCAGTACTATAATGATTGATCATAAATATCAGTCAACCTGCCGAGGGGAGGATACCAAAGCTTTTCATAACGCCAGTTTCCTGAATTGCTTACTCAAGTGTGTGTGGGAGCAGGTTCTAATATTAGTTGTGATTCTTTCCATTTATCTAGAGGATTATATAGCCAGCAATTTCTTAGTAGTGAGAATGACTTCATGTTGAGCAGGAGGTCTTAGAGGATATTCAGTTTGAGAAATGAAATTCCCTAACAAAAATAAAAGTGTGAACATTTTGTGCTAAAACAAAACAAAAACAAGTCTGAGTCAATGGAAGGGAGTCACAGGGATTCTTGTTTCATTGTCTTGGGAAAGCTATTTCATAATACCATCTACTTTGATGGAAGGATTTCTCTTGGGCATCCTTCACTTTATTTTTATTTTATTGTTACTTTATTTATTTTTTGAGAGGGAGCTTCACTCTTGATGCCCAGGCTGGAGTGCAGTGGTGTGATCTCAGCTAATTGCAACCTCCGCCTCCTGGGTTCAAGTGATTTTCCTGCCTCAGCCTCCTGAGTAACTGGGATTACAGGCATCTGCCACCATGCTTGGCTAATTTTTTGTGTGTTTAGTAGAGATGGGGTTTCACCATGTTGGCCCCCTGACCATGTCTCAAACTCCTGACCTCAGGTGATCCATCTGCCTCAGCCTCCCCAAGTGCTGAGATTACAGGCGTGAGCCACCACGCCTGGCCAAGTATCCTTAATTTTAAATCACATGTAGGTTGACAAGTCCAAAAGTGTAAGAGAGTTTTATTAGTTATGAAACATGTACCCAAGGTCATGATCCTGAAGTTTTGCTACAGTGAGAATATTAAGAAGAAACTGGTATAGTCTCTTTTTCAGCAGGGCTCAAGGGCAGTAGTTCTCTGCTGTCTTTTACAAAAGACCTAGTCTCTGCTGGGAGCGGTGGCTCCTGCCTGTAATCCTAGCACTTTGGGGGGCCGAAGCAGGCAGATCACCTGAGGTCAGGGATTCCAGACCAGCCTGGCCAACACGGTGAAACCCTGTCTCTACTAAAAATACAAAAATTAACCAGGCATGTTGGTGCATGCCTGTAATCCCAGCTACTTGGGAGGATGAGGCAGGAGAATCGTTTGAACCAGTGAGGTAGAGGTTGTAGTGTGCCGAAATTATGCCATTGCACTCCAGCCTGGGCAACAGAGGGAGACTCTGTCAAAAAAAAAAAAAAAAATATATATATATATATATATATATGTATAGTCTCCAGATTCCAGGTCATGGAAGGCAGGATCATCATCAGTAGGCAGATCACAGAAAGCCTCCTTCACCTGGTGGAATATACTTTAGCATAATACATCAAGGCCTTGCAGTATTGAGTCATATCAGAGCCAACAGTATAGCAGATAAATGAAGTTCTGTTATGAAAGGCACAAGTCGTTCAGTATTTATTTCATAGTCAGTTTGTGTTTTCCCATAGGGGTTGATGTTATTGCCATAAAGGCCAGCGGTAATTCTTTTGGCCAAGATAATTCAGTTGACTCGGTTAATTTAGCTAATTTTAGTTCTGTGGTACCATTTCTCCATTCAGCCTTTCCAGAAGACTGAGAGTGAAAATGGCAATTATAGTGCTATTAGGTCTCTAAACTCTTACTTGGTTGATAACCTGTCAAATAAAGTGAATTACCCTAGTACTGGAGATCTCCTTTGCAGGCAGGTGGAATTTCATCTTTCTGGAGCCCGAGGGTCTTCAAAAAAGAGCTGCCCAATGGAGCTTCCCTTGCTGGTGAGCTCCACCCTCTTTTCTCCAGAGCTCTTTGCCCCAAAGGTACCTGCAGGATGGAGGGAGTTGGTAAGAGCAAAGAGGAGATTTTTACTGAGACCTTATCCAGGTGAACACACAACATCCTTTTGTGCTTTGGCTGATGTGTGCATTTCTGTCTGTTCATGCATGCCTGGGAGTATGGAGATGAGGGTGTGAGAGAGTATATGGCTGTGCATCCTTGCATAGACAAGAACATGGGGTGCAGGTGCACAACCCCTCCCCAATCCAGGCCTGCCGTGGTGCCTCCCTGCCCCTGGCCCAAAGCTTGCCTCCATTGGCTTGGAGACCCTGGCTTTGCTCTATGGCTTTATTCTGCCTTGAAGACCAGCTGGTCCCCTACTATGGTCTCTCATAATGGAGAATGATCCCTGCCCACCCATTCAGCTGTCTGGTGGCCCTGGGGAAAGTGTTTCTCCCCCATCTCCCAAACTAGAAGTGTGTAGGGGTTCCCTGCCTGGAGTCCCAACCCAACCAGGGTGGAGGTAATGGGCACCAGTTACTGCGACCCATTCCGGCTCCATATGGATTTGGTTTGACAATAAAACTCCCTCTGTGTGTTCCCAAGCACCTTATATAATCAGGGGCTCTGGGCAGAGGAGGAAAGAAGGAAGAGGTGGAGATGGGGACCACAAGACACTAGGATGGGATGGCTGGAAAGGACACAGGGACCAGGAGGAGAAGACAGGAGATGAAGGACAGAGAGGAAGAGAGAGTGGGAGCAGGTCTTGACCTCCCAGTTCTGCCTCCTGCCTCCTGGGGAGGGGAGGGTAGAGTCCAGGCCATGGATCTCTGCTTGTGGATGCTTTGTCTTGTTCTCCTTGTACCTTTCCCACCTGTCCTGGATGAGCTAAGGAGAGCTATGGGACCTGTCTGGGGTGAGGTGAGGTCGGGTGTTGGGCTGGACTTGGGAGGCTGGTCCTTGGCTCCACCCACCTGGAAACTGAATAAATGCCATTAAAAGAAAAATCTGTTTCCTCTCTCACTCCCGGCTTCCATTGCCTTCCCCCAGGCCCCATCCCTGGTTCCAGAATCCCCCTGACCGCTCCTCTTTCGGTGCTCAGGAGGGCAGAATAACTGCAGCCTTTCCCTGTGCCCTGCTACACTGGTCTCAGGCCCCCTCCCGGCCCACTCATCCAGGGACACAGCCCTGGCCTTGGCCCAACCCCATTACAGGGGTGTGGCCCTGAAACGCACTCCCTGCTCCGTGATCAGACACTCTTCTGAACATCACTGACCCTGCAGCTGTCCAAATAGAGCAAGAAGCAAATGTTCTCCTTGAGGCCCAGCTGGACTGAAAGCCCTGCAGGGCCAGGTGAGCTGCCAGGCCTGGGTGTGCTCTCCGGTGTGGGTGTGGCTGTGGGTGTGGGGGCACCAGGTCCTGAGCCTCAATCCCTTCAGCTCCTCCTGGGCAGAGGGAACATCCGCTCAGGAGTGACCAGGAGCGTTGCGGGTGGGGAGGCCTCTCAGCTCTCCCAGCTTCAGCTGGGGCTGGGACCTTGGGGGACTTGCTCTCCTGGGTATTCCCAGGCTGTGGTCTGTGCCTCAGTGTCTGGGTTTCTGGCACCAGGCTTCCTTGGGAAGAGCCTCTGGGTGTGCACCGGCCCTGAGGGTGAGGCTCGTCCCAGGCTGCAGGGGACTGAGGGCCCAGCTCTTCCACCTTGAGAACAAGGATGGTCCCTCAAGGCTGGGAGGAGGAGGTGCTGGCCAGGACCTTGGATTAGCCGGGACATCACAGATATTGGAGAAGCCAGTGTTCAGGCACTTGGCAGGACCCCTGGCACCACCTTCAGTTGACTTAGTGTCTCTGCCCTGGGGTATTGCTTGGGACCCTGGGCTGGCTGCTGTGTGCAGAGGTGGGTGCAGGTCATGGCCCAGACCTGCTGAACAAGTTGTAGGCTCTGGAATCCTCTGTCCCCGGGCAGTGACCAGGCCCTGACAGGCCTGAGTGTGGCCCTCCCATCACTCCCCCAGATATGAGTGCAGATGACCCTGAAATTGCTAAAGCCTCTCATCTAGGAGGTGTGAGCAGGCTGGCGGGACACCCGGATTTGGGTGCTGGGTGGGCTGAGAGGACAGTCCCTGTCACTGGGACTAGGCACAGAGGACAGTGAGTGTGTGTTGTGTGGGTGCCCAGCCAGGGAGTGTCCTTCAGGGGCAGTAGGCTCTGCAGTACCCTTGGGCACGGCCATAGGCTGCCCTGGGACACTCCCCGGGCCTTCTGGGAACACACCTGTGGGACTCATAGGTGTGGCTGGGTCTCCTGGCAGGAACTGGTCTCTCTCTGGGAGTTAAGTTTGCTGGACAGAGGGTGAGTAGCCCAGGGCTCCCCTTTCCCTGGCTTTGGAAGAAAGAGGTCCCTGAGGGCTGACACAGCCACGCCCTGCCCCCTGGAGGCCCCAGGCTGCCTGGTGATAGCTCCAGGGACTTGTACGCTGACAAACAAAGTCTACAGGAGCCAGAGCTGGGGTGGGAGGAACGCAGTGGGCCTGAGGGAGGTAGAGCAGCAGCAGCAGCAGCTGAGCCCCTGGCCAGCCCTGAGGAATGGGGGAAGAGAGCGCCCTGGCTGGGGGAGGCCCTCAGACCCCAGAAGCTGTATGTGGGCACTGGGGGTGGGGGGTGGGGGGTGGGCAGAACTGGGGGCGGTGTGTGTGTGTGAGACCAGGCTTGCAGGTGACTGAGTACAGACTAGTGCGTTTGTGCTGGAGAAGCCTGTGTAGGTTACTGACATGGGAGGGCCAGTGTGAGCTGCAGGGACTGGAGAGCTGGCACAGGAAGGGGCTCTCTGTCCCTCCTGGCTCTGGGTGTGGATGCAGCTGTGTCTGTTCCCCATTTCCCCAACAGAGGTGGCCCTAGGTTATCTCAGCCGCCCAGAGCTTCAACCAGCCCTGCCCACATTCACACCAGCTCCCGGAGAGGGGCCACTGCGCAGAGACTTAGCTCTGGGCACCTAGAAGGGCCCTTTCTCCCCTCGTCATCCCTCCTTCATGGCCCACGTTTACTCTGAGGGGGTGGACTCTCTGCTGGGGACAAGCTGGAGAGGGACTCTCTTTCGGCCTTCTTTATTCGCGGGGGAGGGCTGCTGCAGGATGGAGGGCTTGCTTTCCCTGAGTCCTTATCTGGGGGCCCTGCCCCACTCTCCCTCCCATGTGCAGGGGCTTCCCCTCTGGCGAGCCTGCCTAGTTTCTCCCCAACTCAAGCCCCTTTACCCTACTGGCTCCTAATGGGACTTCAGGTATGGACCCTCAACTACACAGGCCCAGAAACTTCCTTGTTTGTCAAGCGCCAGTCTGACCCTGGTGTCCATCTCAGTGCCCAGCAGGTGTTCTGGTGAGGGGAGGTGGGGGTGCAGGGTCTGCGGAGTGAGGGTTCCTACTCGGAGGAGACAGAGGAAAGGGGTTTCTGAGCCCAGATCTTTGCTGCTCCGAGACACTCAGAACCAGAGCGGAGAGGCTGAATTCAGAGGCTGTAGTGTGGGGCAGGGCTGGAATTAGTGGCACCTGTGTGGGGACTCCAGGGCTGCATTGGCCTGTGCTGTCCTGCTCGGGGATTTGGGGGACTGGGTTTAGATAGAGTGCATCATCTGCATAGGGAGCACTGTTGTGGAAGTGGACTCTGCTCAGGTGTCGGGGGGCCTGCCTTTGAGGGGCACTGTGGTGGAGACGGAGCACCACTCATGACAGGAGGCTGGTGTCTGATCAGGCTGAGGGATTCGCGTGCCAGCCCTTCTGAGAAGGCGGAAAGAGGTGGAACTGGTCAGGGCCTGGGCGCCAACTCCAGGAGGTGCTACACCCAGAAAGAGAGAGATGGAGAGCCACCCACAAGTGGCCTCCTCCCCTCCCCTTCTGCATACCACCCATCCCAGCAGCACCCCCTGAGTCTGGGCTGTGGATGGATCTGAGTTGAGGGCAGGACAGAGTGGGAGTGGCAGTGCCTCTGCCTGTCTCCCTGGCCTCGGCAGAGCCTGTGTCACATCTGGACCAGGAGAGGTGAGTGTGATTGTGGCAGTGGTGGGGGCAGTGGCTGAGGACCCTTCTCTTTGCTGGGCTGGGGCAGAGCTTGAATGGAGAGGGGCTGCCTTGTGCCTGAGCAGGGAGGACCAGGTGTTGCTGGCACCTTCCGGGTCCTGAGTGCCTGCTCTGTGGTGCCCAGCCCCTGCTGAGTCTGTGGAGGTTCAAAACCAGGACATGTTTTGAGGCTCAGGACACCTCTGAGGACTTGCTGCTGTTGCTCCTACTTAAAAGACGAGGCCTCTGAGGCTCTGAGAGGTTAAGTATCTGGTCTGGGTCACCTGGTCAGTTTCTGAGCTCCAGACAGCTCATCCCAAATTTCATGGCTGCACAGACTGTAGGGATTAAAAGTAGTTCCGGCTGCTTGTACTTTAAATCCTGTTTCCACCATTTTTCAGCTGTCTGATCTTAGGACCCTTAATGTATTCTCTCTGTGCCTCAGTTGTTCTTCTCTCTAAATGAGAAGGAAAGAGTTCTCCCTCATCAATTGGTTGAAAACTTCAGCGACGTTTTGCACAGCAGCTGCAGCACAGCCGCAGGGATGATTTAAAAGTGAATCCAGGACAGGGCGTTGTGGCTCACACCTGTAATTTCAGCACCATGGGAGGTGAGGCGGGAGGATCACTTGAGCCTGGAGTTTGAAGCCACCCTGGGCAACATAGACGTCGTCTTACAAAAAAAAAAAAAAAAAAAAAAAGGTGAATCCGGGGGTGTCATGCTTTGTTACTAATGTCCTCCAATGACATTCATGACACCCAAACTTAGAATCTTAGCTCTTGGCCTGTGATGTCTACACCACGTGTCCCCGTGGCCTCCCTGGCACCCCCTCGCCTTCCTGGCTGTCTGCATCGCATAAGACTTTCTGTGCCTTGCACCCAACAAGCCCAGGGTCTTGGACACTTCTCTCAGTCTGGAACCTTGTCACCTCCCTGATCTTCCCATGCCCGCCTTTCATGTAGGCCTCAGGTTCACAGCCAGCTCCTCAGAGGCATGGTTCTTACCCTTCAGTGGCCAAGGTGCTGGCCCTCACTCTGCCCCCGTGCCCCATGTTAGCGGTCCTGTGGTTTGTGCCCTTGTCCCGTTGTCTCCATCATTTCCTGTGTGCCATGTGTCTGTGCCCCCCGAGGATGAACACCATGAGTCCAGGCTTGTCATTCTGTTTCTGCCGTGCCATAGTGCTTGAGTTAGTGCCCTGCTTGCAATCAGCCTGCAGGCCCTGTGGCTTCTGTTTCTGCTGACCTGTCCAGCCTCACTGTGACTGGGGAGGCCTTGGGGTCCCCAGTGGGTGCTGGGACAGGTGTATTATTCCACTAGGCCTTCTGTGGAGCAAGTAGGGGAGGAGTGATGTGCCCCCTGCCGCTCTCCTGGGACCACACAGGTTAGTCCTGTGGGTGACCTCACTTTAGAGAGGGCTGGCCAGCTGTCCCAGAATCAGGACGTGGGTGTAGCTGGACCAAAGCTGGCTGGAGCCAGCTCTGCAGAAACCACACCTGCTCATGAGAAGGATATCCTTGTGAGTACAGAGGAAATGGCACAGAGAAAGACCCACACCCGAGGTGGCTCTGCCAGCTTCCCCTGGGGTGCTTCTGGTGAAGCCTGGGTCTGTGCATAGATCTTTGCACTGTGCTCTTTTAACTTGGGAGGAGAGGAAGAAGTCAGCTGCTCTGAATGGAGTTGCTGCTAATGTCTACAGCACTTTCCTGTAAATTAGGAAACGGAATGCCCCACTCCTGTCCCCCATCCCCATTCCCCACCGGGTTGGAGAAGCCCTGCACAAGAACATACAGTTTGGCAAGCAGGGGGAGGGCTGGAGGCCAGCCTCACTTGCCCCCCTAGCCAGGTGGTGATTGCCCAGGGTGCATACAGTGTCTGGTGCTCTGCCCTGCTGTTTCTGTCCTTAGGGTAGGACACATGGAAGGTAAGGAGGGCCGGTCAGTGGGAGGCGCAGGTGCTGCGTGTTCTAGGGTCTGAGATCAGCTGCTTCCATTCAGTGATGGTCTTTGGAGCTGTGTTGACTGCTCATGTGACCTCCCTTCCAGATAGTGCCATTTTTTCCCCATTTACCTAACAGAAAACCTGAGATCTGGAAAGGTCGTTAACACTCGGAAGTTATATAGTTGGTCCGAAATTCACATCCAAGTGTGAGACTTCAATATTTATTTCTTATTTTTTCTTCTTCCTCTCTTTTTTAAATCAAATTTTATTTGAAAGGGTATCAGAGTCACCAGTTTTATAAAGGTAAGCAAGCCAGATGTGCTGGCTCACGCCTAATCTCCACATTTTGGGAGGCAAAGGCAGGTGTGTCAGTTGAGCCCAGGAGTTTGAATCATCCTGTGCAACATGGTGAGACCCCATCTCTCTAAAATTTCCAAAACTAGCTGGTTGTGGTGGTATATGCCCGTCGTCCCAGCACCTTGGGCGGTGCTGAGTAGAACGGTTGCTTTAGCCTGGGAGGCGGCTGCAGTGAGCCGAGATCAGGCCTCTGGTCTTCAGTCTGGGCTACAGAGCAAGATTCTGTCTAAAAAATAATAATAATAATAATCAAGGTAAGCAGTACAAACGGGAATATGAGCATAAGTCACTCTCATTCCAGACCCCTGGCCCACAGGGATAGCCTTTGTTTTGAGTCCTTCCGAGGAATCTATTCATGTACAGACATGTCTGGGTATGCATGTCACTCTTTTGTGAAAGTGCATTTGGAGATATGGATATCATTGTTTTGTACAAGTCTTTTAAGTTTGGATTCTGTGGATATTATATTTTAGAGATTAGTTGATATCAGCATGCATAGGTTTGCACCCTCTTTTTCACAGCTGTATGGTGTTTCTCTATCTGTGCGTAGATTTCAAGTTCTTTCCATCTTAAGCTGTACTGGTGAAGATCTTGTTAGACAAGTCTCTGTGCAAACATAGTAAACTTTGTAGAATAAAGTTCTGGCCATGGGCCAAATTCCCTCCCAGAGGTGACCCTAGTTTTCACTTCCTTGTACATGTGCGAGAACTCAGGCCCCTTGTGTTTTGCTGTTATAATGAGTGAAATATGTTGTCTCCACTACCCTGGAATATATAAATGTAGATGAGCATAGTTTCTTATTTGCTATTCATTTTTCTACATTAAAGTAAATATTCATGTCCTTTGCCTATTTTTGTTTTATTTATTTTCTTTTTTCTTTTTTGAGATAGAGTCTGTCTCTGTCTCCCAGGCTGAAGTGCAGTGGTGCAATCCCAGCTCGCTGCAACCTCCACCTCCTGGATCCAAGCGATTCTCCTGCCTCAGCCTCCCAAGTAGCTGGGACTACAGGCACCCGCCATCACGCCTGGCTAATTTTTGTATTTTTAGTAGAGGCAGGGGTTTTACCATGTTTGCCAGGCGGGTTTTGAACTCCTGACCTCATGTGATCCACCCACTTCGGCCTTCCAGAGTGCTGGGATAACAGGTGTGAGCCACTGCGCCCAGCTCTTTGCCTATTTTTAAATTAGGTTTCTTGTTTGTTTTTTTTTCTGATTTGTGTGAACACGTTATAGGCTCAGGGAATTTACTGATATGTTATGTATAGGTTGCAAATGCACTTTAGTTTTCAGTTGTCTTTTGTTTTTTTTTGAGACGGAGTTTTGCCTTTGTCGCCCAGGCTGGAATTCAATAGTGTGATCCTTGCTCACTGCCACCTCCACCTCCCAGGTTCAAGCTATTATTCAGCCTCAGCCTGCCAAGCACCTGGGATTACAGGCGCCTGCCACCACACCCGGCTAATTTTTGTATTTTTAGTAGAGATGCGGTTTCACCATGTTGGCTAGGCTGGTCTCGAACTCCTGGCCTCAGGCAATGTACCCGCCTCGGCCTCCCAAAGTGCTGCAATTACAGGCATGAGCCACCACAGCCGGCTTCAGTTGTCTTTTAGGTGTTTAATTTGTCTTCACTCCTTCCTCTCTCTTGCACTTGCTGTCTGTCTCACTTAAATTTTATGTAGGTGAATATATTCATCTTTCTTTGTTTAGCTTCTCAATTTATATTTCTTCACTATCTCTGTTCATTCCTTTAATATGAAAATATTTCTGTATTTTCATATTTGCATGTGATAAGACTCGCATGTGATAATCTGCCAGGTTGAACAAATGGGAATATGATCTCTCATGACATTAAAAGAGGTCACAGGGGCATGTCTTTGGTTCTATACTTGTAATATTATGTTTCGAAAAAGAAAAAAAAAATCTATTCTTCCCCGTTTCCCTGGAATAGAATTCTCACTTAAAGTTGGGTATATACCTATGTTTTATTCTTTCATCACACACACAAGCACACACTGTTTATATGCATAAATAGTGTTGTTTTTGGACTCCTACTTTACGTTTGTTTTTGCAACACTTTTTTTAAACATGTTTTTATTATTTTATTTAATACAGGCCCTTGCTCCATCACCCAGGCTGGAGTACAGTGGCACTGTCATAGCTCACTGCAACCTCCATCTCCTGAGCTCAAGTGATCCTCCCACCTCAGCCTCCTGAGGAACTGGGATGATGACCGTCCTAAGCCACTAAGCCTGGCTAAGTTGTTTATTTTATTTTAAAAATAAAGATGAAACCTTGCTATGTTGCCCAGGCTGGTCTCAAACTCTTGGGCTCAAGTGATCTCGTGCCTTGGCCTCCCAAAATGCTGGGATTACAGGCACGGCTTCAAAAAGTTAACATTATGTGTTCAAGTTTAACCCAATTAGCCCATATGGATTGATGTCTTCAGTTCAGTGTATGTAGTCATGGCTGTACTGATGACAGCTGTTTCCCCTTTTACTGCTATTGCAGCGCTGCCTAATAAATATCCTGGAATGGGTTGTACTTATATACTTCCAAATGGAATTACCAGATTGTAAAATATGCACATCTTCAGCCTTACTAGATATTATGAAGTGCTCTTCTAAGCCTTTTTGTCAATTTGTACTTCTACCAGCAATGTGGAAATGATATTTGGTTTTAATCTGTATTCCC